AAAATTTCTACATTTTTCAATTTTTTCCTTTTTAAAAATACATTATTTTTGAGTTGTTTCTTTTCATCAAAGACAAAAAAGAGGAAGAAAAGTTTTTTAAAAAAAGAGGAAAATTATAGATAAAATTGAAGATTTAAGAGACGAGAAAAATTCAATTAGAAAAACAAAAAGAAATTGAAGAAGTTAAAGACCAAATACGCGAACTAGTCAAAATTAGATAATATAAAAGTATAAAATTTATTTAAAATGTTTTACTTAAAATGTTATTTACACGGAGAAAAATGGAAAAACGATTAAAGTAACTTTTACTACTTTAAAAGTAAAACCTGAACTGTTCTCAGTTTCTGCGCATTTCTGTCAATTTTTACTCCAGAAATAGTAAAATTTACTATTTCCGTAATAATTTTTACTATTTCAGAAATAAATTTTACTATTTTTGAAGTAAAAATTGCTAGAAACACGCAGAAACTGCAAAAAGTTAAGGTTTTACTTTTAAAGTAGTAAAAATTACTTTATTCGTTTTTCCATTTTTCTCCGTGTACTGTTAGCCTTTGCTTGTTAAAAGCATCAGTATTAATTATTTTAAAAAATATTAATATTTTCTATAATATACTCTCTAAATCTGTATTAGTCACTAATTCAATTGTGCCGATTTGTTCATTAAATTAATTGGTAACCGTTTTGACTAATTTTTAGTAAAAAAAAATGACTAATTAACAGTAGAAAACTACTAATTGTTAATAGAAAACTGCTAATTAGTTGTAGAAAAATACTCATTTATTTAGTAAGGCTACTATCTCAATTGGTAAATTTTAATAAATGAATTAATAGTTTTCTACACTGCAAAAAGAAGTATCTTATTGTAAGATGTTTTGGTCGCCTTTTTAAGATGTTTTTTTTTATAACTTGCTTCTAAGTTATCAAAAACAACTTAAAATGCATTAGTTTCTTAAGATATAAGATGGATAGGAAGATACTTTTGATAACTTGCTTTCAATGTATCTTATAATAAGATACTTCTTTTTGCAGTGTACTATCAATTATAGTCATTTTTGACTAAAAAATAGTCAAAACAGTTATTAATTCCTTTAATAAACGATTCGGCGCAATTGAATGAGTCAAAAGTGACTAATTCAGATTTAGAGATTAAAAAAGAATGTGATACCTATATGAATTTAAATAATATCTCTATATTTTATATTACCTATATAAAAAAGCATGTTATATATGAGGCATTCCATTTTAAAATGACCCTCTAGCAAACAATTACCAGTATGAGACAATTTTTAAATAATTGTTTTCTACTTACTAAAATCAAATTACTTTGTTATTAGCAGTTTTTAAAGAGAAAATTCTAAACTTTAGAATGGTAAATTTTTTTTTTTTTAAATTAAGAACCATTTATTGAACAAAGCGGCATTTGTTCTTAAAAATTTCTTGTATGAAATTTTTGAAATCAAGGTATTGAATAACCTAACAACAAACATTCTCTGCTATTGTAAAGTTTTGTAAAAACAAATGCCGCTCTGTTCAATAAGTGGTTCTCAATTCATACATATTTTAACCTCTGAAATGACTGTAAATTTTTATTAATTTGTCAAAATCTTCTAAAATGTTCATTATAAACATTACGAAAATAAAAACTAGAATATTTAAGCTTTCTTTTTTACATATAGATTTGATAAAAATCTAAAACAAAATGTTTAGAATTTTCTCTTTAAAAACTATTAATAACAAATGTAATTTGATGACAAAAACACATTTTTCTATTCACAGAAAATTAAAAGGCATTAAAATAAGCTGCAACGCTTCTTATTTTAATCCAATTTTGCTTATTTTAATACCAAAATGGATTAAAATAAGCAAAATTGGATTAAAATAAGAAGCGTTGCAGCTTATTTTAATGCCTTTTAATTTTCTGTGTTATGAATTCCAAGATTCAAATTTAAAACTGAAAAAATTAATTTTTATACAATAGATTAGGGACAAAAAAAAACTCTAAATTTTAAAGAAAATGGAAAAAGAATGGTTAATATTTTTGTCGATTTGTATTAAATACGAAGAATTTAATACTATGTTAAGATTATATATTAGAATTAATATATAACAGAATTATATAATAGATTATGTAACTATTAATAATAATGTATTTTGTATAAAGGCTATACATTTTATTTGTTAGTTCGATAGAAATTAATGAATGAAATATTTTATATTAAAAATAGAGAAGACTGAAAATAAGTATTTTTTTTTCTAACTTTGTATTTGAGCCATAGGCATTAATTATTTTGTAATGGTTTTGCGATTGTCTTAAAAAAACGAATTTTATTTATACGTAAAAGTTTACAATATATGTTCTTAAAATCTGCGAATTAGTAAACATTTTATAATTTTTTATTTACTGATTTATAGAGCCGAAGTTGGTGAAACTGACCCTAATAAATTTATTGTTTAAGTATTCAGTAAAAAACAAATTACTTAAAAATGAACTTTTAAAAAATGTTACATATAAGTAAAAATAAAATTTAAATAGAAAAAAAAAATTGGATTTTTTTATGAATTTTGGTTTCAAATTAAATATGATGCTATAAGAAGGGTTTGAAATATATATACACTATTTAATCTTATGGAAATTCACTAATAATTATTATATAATTATATAATATTTAAATAATTCCAAAGAACGCTTCATCATAACAATATTATATTTAATTATTATGATGAAGCGTTTTTTGGAAAATATATTCATATAGAAATTCTGACTAATTAAAATAATCTTACATAAGACTCAAGTTGATCCTCTTTTACCCTCTGTGTAAGAAAAAAGTAAGCAAATCTGAAACGCCCCCCCCCCTCCCCCTTCTGTATCAAGCTTACGTAATACTTGAACGGCTCCTTGGCACCCAGCTTATCCAGTTATTGGCACCATGGTTACATAACCTCTGAATTTGGCAAATGTTTTATACAAATAAATTATGTACTACTTTAATCGTAGAAAAATCAATTTTTTTTAAAAAATATTTAAAATAAAACTAGTATTTTAAAAAAGAAGCAAAATATTAAAGTAAGCGATCGATTGACAGAAAAATTTATTTTTTCTTTAAAATTTAAGAGTAAATGCAAACAGTCAAATACACAGAAAATTATAAAGTATTAAAATAAGCTGCAATGCTTATTATTTTAATCCAATTTTGCTTATTTTAATACCAAAATGGATTAAAATAAGTAAAATTGGATTAAAATAATAAGTGTTGCAGTTTATTTTAATGCCTTTTAATTTTCTGTGTATTAATTAAATTTTACATTTCTGAAAATTAAGAAAATTTTACAAAATAATTTTAGGACAAAAATCCAAAAACGATTTTTTAACTAAAACTTGTTTTTGAAAAATAATAATTCTTGAAAAGTATTTCTATAGGTTAGAAAAAATAATTTTTATATTTTTTGAATTGAAATATTTTGAAATGTTTTTAATTTTTTGTGAATGTTATAAGTATTTGCATTTACCTTTAAATATTTAATTATTATGGATTGGTTTAAAAAATTAAATATTTAGCTAGTTTATAATTACAAAGAGTTGGTAATATAATTTTAATTTTATTAGGTAGATAGGTAGGTAATTAGTAATTGATTAGTAGATAATACAGTCTTGACATTCAAAGAGTAATATTAGATAAAAGGCCTTCAAGTCAGTATATCTCTGCTCTCTATGCGTTTCCAATTTGCGTCCTCAAGGTCTAGGGTTCGATTTCCCATGCGTGCGCGCAATTCTTAAATCTTATAATTTTAAGACTTTATTTTCTACCTCCAATGGTTGTTAAAAAATTGTTAAATAAAAATATCAGTTTTGAAATAAGAAATGTACCTAAAAATGTTTTATGAATAAATTATATACAAGGTGATTTTTATGTTCCGGACCCTCTGAAAATTTTTTTTTAATCTTATTTTTTTCGTTTTTTAACCCTTAACTGGCACAATTCCGCGTTCAAACGTAAATTGTTTTTTAGGTTAAAATTAAAAATTTATAATTATTAATATTTGAAGCTAATTTATTCTTCTGTATCGAATTAGTTGTATAAAAAAAACTTAGAAAATTTCTAAGAATATGTCAAACTAATATCACAGAAAATTAAAAGGCATTAAAAAATAAGCTGCAACGTTTATTATTTTAATCCAATTTTGCTTATTTTAATCCATTTTGGTATTAAAATAAGCAAAATTGGATTAAAATAACAAGCGTTGCAGTTTATTTTAATGCCTTTTAATTTTCTGTGATATTAAAATATAAAAAATATTCAAAAGCTATTCAATTAATTTGAGCTTGAAAAAATGCTCGGGTCTACTTGACCCATGGTGCCAGTTAAAGGTTAAACAAAAAAAAGCGAAATAAAAAAAAATTTTAGGGGGTTCGGAACATAAAAATCACCCTGTATATAACTTTGTTTAAAAAAAAGGAGAGGAAACTTAAAATAAAAAATGAAAAATATACTTTTTAAAAGTAATCTAATGAAAATAATACATTAATAGTAGAAGTATTTTTAAGATATGAGAATTATTGAAATTCGTAGAATATGTTTTATTCTATGAATGAATTTATGAATTTTAAGATTTAATCAAATAAAGAATAATAAAAAAATTAACACAAATCAAATGGTTTAAAAGCGTGCAATGATTGCAATGCAAAAATTTAATTCGTTCTCAAATAGAAACGGAGGGCAAAATTAATTAATTTCTTTCATTTCCACTAAATATGATTTATCTACTTCAGAATTTCAAATTTCGTATAACGAGCTTTCCATATAGAACATAGGTGTATCATTGTTAAATCTGGAAAAATAGAACCTTTAATGTTAACCTTTTAAATACCTAGTTGTAAATATATTAAACTGAAAAAAAATATAAAATTGAAAAAAAGTTAATATTTTTTATACTCATATAACTGTTATATTAAATAGAAAAAAATATATATAAATATTAATGAACGCTTTTTTCTGTTTCAGGTGTCGTTCACTGGCGGAGTATCGGTAAATATCAGTTTTTAAATATAATAATCTATTTGCAGCTTTTTATAGTAATGTGAGTCATCACGTTTGATTGGAAAACTTTATAATATCAAATTGAAAATCTATAAATATTTATGAAGCTGAAGTTAACAACATTTACGTTGACAAAATTTAACTTAAGAATATAATATGTAATACATAAATTAAAATTATTCCAACATAGAAATAATAATTAATAGTATTTTTAATGAAACCATATACGTACTTGAAAACAGATCTGAAACAACTATAGTAAAATGTAAACAATCAAATATTGTACATAGACCAATCGTAAAATAGTTAGAAGCAACATAAAGTAAAGTTTAAACACAGACATATGCTGTTAAACAATAAAATAAATCGAATTATAAAGTACATGAAGTAACAACAAGAATAATCACATGTACTCTCTAAATCTGAATCAGTCATATTTTACTGATTAGCAGTAGAAATCTACTAATTGCCATAGCGAGAATTGAGCAACTGACAATTAGTAGAAATTTACTGATTCAATTAGTAAAATATGAATTACTGATTGAATCAGTAATATAAATATATGGCGGCGGCAACAAAATCTACTGATTTAATAGTTAATTTTAAAGGTTATGTTATATATAAATTACTGATTTACATAAGTTATTTTCTATTGGTTGCATATTCACTAATTACACAGCCCCACAAAAAAAAAAAAGTGTCATGTACTTTTGACCGGAATACCCTAACCCTATGTATTTTGACGCGCTGAACACGAATCCGTAGTCCGTTTTGCTCCATCACGTCAGGATTTTTTTCTAACCTCAAAAAACATGTCGGATTTTGAGAAGTAGGCGATTTTTTTAAAAATTGATGTATTAACTTCTAACTTGGTATCTGGGGGTTTTTTGTGTCGCTGATTACGAATCTGATGTCAGATTTCCGAAATTCGATATGTCTAATTCAATATTAAGGAATTATTTTTAAAAAATTGTCAGATTATTATGAAATTTGGTATCTACAGGTTTTCTAAGTTGCTGACAAGTAACACTAGGGAAGTGCCATACGCCGATTTTTCTGAAACTTGGCAGTTTTGTAGTTTTTTGAAAACAATTTGACACGTATGTTTTGTTTTTCCCCAAAAGCTGATTTATGGGGGGAAAAAACTCCTTGAATTTTTTTTTGGTAGGGGGACATTATTTTACGAAATTTTTCAAAAATTAATGTGCAATAGTGTATCTGGGGGTTTTTTGGGTCACTGATTACGAATCTGATGTCAGATTTCAAAAATTCAAAATGGCATATCCAACATGGACTTCTATCGGCCACATTAGATACGCCATTATCAATTTTTGAAAACTGACATCAGATTCGTAATCAGCGACCAAAAAAACCCCTAGATACCAAGTTTGAAGTAAATCTTAAAATTTTTTCAAAATTCGTCCGCCATATTGGATCTGCCATTTTTCGTTTTGAAAATCTAACTTCAGATTCGTAATCAGCGACACAAAAAACCCCCAGATACCAAGTTTGAAGTTAATACATCAATTTTTAAAAAAATCGCCTACTTCTCAAAATCCGACATGTTTTTTGAGGTTAGAAAAAAATCCTGACGTGATGGAGCAAAACGGACTTCGGATTCGTGTTCAGCGCGTCAAAATACATAGGGTGAGGGTATTCCGGTCAAAAGTACATGACACTTTTTTTTTTTTGTGGGGCTGTGTTATATTAGTAAATTTCAAAAAAATAACTGAAACTTCAATTAAAATGAAAAGTACTGATTGAATTAGTAAAATTTCTACTGATTTAGATTTAGAGAGTAAATATATAAAATTATATAACAATAGTATGAACGCATCTAATAAATACTTTGTGAGTTTTGATTTGAAACAACCAAGACCAAAAAGATACTAAATGCTATTTTTTTCCAAAAAAGGGTCAAGAAAATTGACGGAATTCAAGAATTTTATTTTTTTTTTTTAGTAAATTTTGTTCATTTCAAAAAGCCCGGCAAGTGAATGAAACTTATTATTGGATGCGTGAACTGCACTTTATATAATCAAATGACAACTTCACGTAGCGTGATTGCCCAAATTTTTATTGAATTTTCACATAAACATAAAAAATGTAAATATAACAACTTTTTTATCGATATTTTACATTAGAAAATCAGAATTCTGAGGAATAAAAGTAACATCTTTCTTCTGATTATTTAAAAAATAAAAACTATCAATTGTTAGATTTCGATTTACATTTTATTTTTTATAAAATTTTAGAATTTCTTTGCACTTTTCATCACTATTTTTCATAAGTATGTATAAAAAATTTTAAAAATAAAATAGTCACACTGAAAAAAAAATTTATTTGATTCAAATACTCGATTACTTGACTATTATCAAATAAATATTTATTTGTATCAAATAATTATTATTTGAGTCAATTAAATGGTATTTGTTTCAAGTACAGAAATTATTGGTTCAAATACAATTTATTTAATTCAAATAAAAATTATTTGGTTCAAATAAATATTTTTTTTTGATAATACTCAAGTAATCGAGTATTTGAATCAAATAAATTTTTTTTTCAGTGCACTTTGTTCATTTTCCTTATTCTTGAACGTCAATAATTTTCTTGGAGAAAAATAAAAAAATATGAATCTTCGAAAATTATTTAAATGAGCACTTAATATACATACACTAAAAATTTCGATGTAGCTGAAGTACGCAACGTTTATATAAACGATTTTTCAAGAAATAATTTTTTAAAATGAAAAATTCTATAATTTTTTGCCTAAAAAATATTTCTTGTAGTTTTCATTAATCAACAAATTATTTAAAAAAATATTTTTTAGGCAAAAAATTATAGAATTTTTCATTTTAAAAAATTATTTCTTGAAAAATCGTTTATATATACTTCGAACTCCTTCGGGAAGCTAATTTTTTTTTTTTTTTGTAAAATAGGTGCAAAAAATTAGTTTTTTGCAAATTGCTGCTTCCAATTACATTTTAGCGTAAAAATAGTTGAGAGAGAAAAGAAAGTGTATAAAATTCTGAGTAATTTGAAGAAAAAAAATTAACCCTGTAGCTCAAAAATTGTCCGAGATATATACCTTTTTTAAAAAACCCATTTTTTTTTCGTGATTTTAGGTAAAATCCGGTATTGTATTTTTGAAAAAGGTATATCTCGGACAATTTTTGAGCTACAGGGTTAATTTTTTTTCTTCAAATTACTCAGAATTTTATACACTTTTTTTTTCTCTCCGAACTATTTTTACGCTAAAATGTAATAGGAAGCAGCAAAACTAATTTTTTGCACCTATTTCACAAAAAAAAAAAATTAGCTTCCCGAAGGAGTTCGAAGTATATACAATTTAGGTACTTTATTTTGACCCCAAAATGAAGGGTTTAACCAAAAAAAATCTGACGTCCTGAGTTAAAACATCTAAAAATGCTAACTTGATTGGACTAAGCCACAAAAATACGAAAATTTTAATCCACTTTATCTTCGAAAATAGCATCGGGACAAACGCGAAATTTTTAGTGTATGTGTATATTTAATGTTCATTTAAATAATTTTCGAAGCCCTATATTTTTTTATTTTTCTCCAAGCAAGTTGTTGACGTTCAAAAAGTAGGAAAAATGAATAAAGTGGCTATTTTATTTTTTAAATTATTTATACTTCTGAAAAAGAGAGAAGAAAAGTGTAAAGAAATTCTAAAATTTTATCATATGATCTTCATATTTGGTATGTTCTTATTTAATTTAATGGTTCCTGTTTTTTATAATAAATTTATTCATTTTTAGTAAATTCCAATATTTTTTTAATAGTAAATTCTATGTTTTTTTGCATATTTTCTAGTGGTTAAAAAATTCACAGTTTTCAGTACCTCACATACTTTAAATTCATATTTTACAATTAATAATTTTTTCAATAAAATTATTTTCATTTCGTGATCTTGATAACTTCAAAATCATTCCTGCAAAGTATTATAATTTTTCAACATTAGTCAGCGACAACTTTAGTGGAAATAGAATTAATTGACTCTATATTATTATAAAATTTTACTTTCAAATATCGACAAAAAAGTTATTATGTCTCCATTTGTTCGAATTTTTATTTTACAGAATTTCCATATATGAACGATTTTTCATATTATAAAATTTTTATTTAATCGAAAATTAATGAAACAGAATTTTTATTTCGTCGAATTTTTATTTCATAGAATTTTCATATGTTCGAATAAACATTCGTCAGAAATATTTCGGCTCGAGTCTTAAAATTAACAAATCAAAATTTTTCGTGTCATTTCATTATTGGTTAATTTTTCTATATTTTGAAATTCGAACAAATAGAATTTATGTGAAGAGGATTTACGGTTATATACAAATTCTGTAATATAGAAAATCGGTTTGATGGATCCGTTAATTTGTTTAGAAGTTATAATCGTTTTTTTTATTTTATTTTTTTTGGTCATTCCGTAAGAATTATGCGCTATTTTCCTAAATTTGTATTTTTTTTTTTGCCTTTAAAAAAATGTTATAAATTGTAATGTAATCTAACATAATTTTTGAAATAGCTACTTAGGATTTAAAGATATGAAGACCGAATTCATAGTAAAGTGGAAGATGTGATAACGAAAAGTTAATTTAAAAACTCAAAGAAATGAATATAAATAAAAATAAATAAATATATATTTATTTTCGTATTTGTTTTGCGTTCTAGATCGCTCCCTCGGCAAAGAAACTCTGGGGTGTGGACGAGGGTGGATCGAAAGATGAAGGTGGTGTAAAAGGTGGTGGGATATTACACTTGGACGCCCATCAAATGTGGAGGGATTCAACTTGGAGTACATCAGGTACAAATTTGTCTCTTTCCTTCAATATATGTATTATACTGAGAAAAAAAATATTTTCTTTTAACATCAAATTTTTTTTTTCTTGATTTATATTTATGTAATTCAACTTTTTCGGTTGACCTAATGAAAATATTTTTTCGTTAATTTAACTAAAATTTTGTTACCTCTAAAATTTTATTTTAAACTAAAATTTCTCAATTTTATGATTTTTTATTAAATTTTACTAGGAAGAATAAAAATTTTGTAGATCTAGTAAAAAAAATGAAAATTTTGTGATTCAAACAAAAATATATATTTAGTTGTACAAATGTTTGTCAAAATTTTTTTTTGACACAACCAAATAAATTCCTTCGCGTATTAAAATTCTCCTTTCATTCTTGCCAATGAATATTTATTCTCACTGATTAATTTCAGATCATGCAGTATCACAACCAATATCTATGGGAGCAGGTAGAAGAATGGCTGTAAGCACTGGCTTCCACCATCAAGCCTCGGAAGTAGGAGCCGTTCTCAGTCCTAGAAGCAGGTCAGTAATTTTTTTCTATTTATTCGATTCGAATAATTTTTATTTGAGTCTAACCATTTTTAAATTTACTTAATTTTCTTTTTCGAATGAGATTCATAAATATTTCTCACATTAAAATTATTATAATTTTAGACATTAATTAATTTAATACTTAATTAAAATTATCAAATTTATATTTAACAGAATTTTGTAAAATAAACTTTAAAACTCAACAGAATTTTTATGTCGTAAAATTTTCATTTAGCCAAACTTTTGTAAAGCAGATTCTCAAATTCATTAAATTTTTGTTTAAGAGAATTTATATTTATCCAAATTTTCACAAAAGAGAACTTTAATTTCACAGAATTAATATTTAATGGAATTTCAATTTATCCGAATTTATCATTTAACAGTATTTTATTTAACTGAATTCATTTTTAACAAAATTTATATTAAATGGAACTCTTATTTAACCGAATTATCATTCAAGAGAATTTTCATTTTTACAAATTATTATTTAACAGAACTTTTAATTAGATCATTTTACAAATGATAGAATTTTTTCTTATCGAAACTTAATTTGATCGAATTGTCATTTCAAAAAACTTGTAAAACTTTGAATTTTTCATTTTAACGAAATTTCAAATGGCTGTACAAAAAAATCGTCAGAAAGATTTTGGCGCAAATTTTAAAGTTGACCAATAAAATAATATCCAGAAAATTGTGATTTGTCAATTTTAAAAATTGCGCCGAAATCTTTCCGTCGATTGTCTATTTGGCCATTTGTAATTTCGGACAAATGTAAATTCAGCGTCTTAAAAATTTTATCCATTAATAATTCGTACAAATTAAAATTCGGTGAATTAAAATTTCTGTCATTTAAAAATTCGGTTAAATTAAAATTCTTTTAAATAAAAAATCATGTAAATTAAATAACTGTAAAATAAAATTTTTAACAAATAAAAATTCGGTAGCAAAAAATTTTGTTATGTAAAAAATTTGTATAAAAAGAAAATTTGTCTTGAAAAGTTGGTTAAAACAGGGTTGCCACGGGTCAGGGAAATCATGGAAAAGTTAAGGAATTTTATCAAAAATATATTGGAAAAATATCAAATTTCTAAAAATTCTACTAATATTATAATTTTTTAAATTTTCAATTTAAAATTTTTCTTCTAAAAATTATTGTCTTACATTTTTATAATTGTAGGCCTCGGATCAACTTTTGAAAGAAAAAAAAAGTTATTTTAGTCGATTTACATTACAAGAAAATTATAAAAAGTCCATTTTTTGTTTACAATAAATTTAATTTGTTGAAAAATATTTTTTTATTATTATTAACAATTTGTTATTGGAAATTAAAAAAAAAAAAATTTAATTTCTCAATAAGAATGATTCACAGAAATATTTTCAACAATTTTTCTTTTTAAACCATCGAATTAAACTGAGAAAAATTTTCAAAATTACAATTCAGTTTTAAAACAAATTTTCAAAAATAATTTACAGTTACATTTAAAAAAAAAAGAAAATTTTTCAAGTCTGATTTAATGCACATTATTTGAATTCAGAATTTCGGAAAATGTTTTAAATAATTAAATTTTCGAAGAATTTCATTAAAATATTCTTGAAAAAAAAAAATTTAATAAAATTTGTGAAATAATTGAATCTTAGAAGATTTTTAATTAAAATTTTAAAAACAATTGAATTTGGAAGAGTTTGATTTACAATTTATGTAAATAATTGAATATCAGAAGATTTTCAATTGAAACTTATGAAGTAATGAAATTTTTTTTACTAATTTCAGACAATAATTGAATTTTAGAGAATTTTCAACTAAAACATGTTTCGAAATAATTAAATTTTAATGAAGTTACTGTTAAGATTTTTATAAATAATTGAATTTTTGAAAAATTGGATTAAAACCATTCAAATAATGAATGAAACAAAGAATTATATAAATAAAAATTTGGGAAAAAAATTTTCAATTGAATTAATATTAAATTAATTATTCAATTACTAATTAAATTTGAAAGTTTTCGAGTTAAAATTATTTTGGAAGTATATAAATTTTAGAAGATGTTAAATTGAAACTTTCATAAATTTTAATTGATAAAATTTTTTTTTTACAACCTTTAAATAATAATGTAATTTTAGAGTATTTTTAATTTAATTTAATTTAAATTTTTGTGTTAAACCTGTAAAAAATAATTTTTTCTCATAAAATATTTTTAAATAGAAATTGTAATTCATGATTTTTATAGGAAATTTATGCGCCCTTTGTTGATGCTGTTTTAAAAAGCATGTTTAATTCTAAGTTAAAATTTTTTTTTAGTGAAACTGGTGGACTTGGCGTGAAAATGGTGGAATATGTTCTCGGTGGTTCCAGTCCAACAACACCAAAAGACTTGGACCCAAGAATGGTTTCTCTTAGATTAGTAAGTTAATTCAAATATCAATTTATATATAATACCAACGTATATTAATCAATCTATTGATTGAAAATTAAATTTGAAATTGAATAAAAAAATAACGTTTTCTTTTATTAAAGAAAATTATCTCGAAATTTATGAGAAAATTAATCAAATTTAATACTGATTATTATTATTTTATTTTTTTTTTAAAGCGTTTTCTCCATTTTCAAAAGCAAGTAATTTTAACAATCGGTAAATTTCGTTATCCAATTTATTAAACTATTTTTAAATAATAACGTTTTCAATTAATTGCAAAATTACAAAATAGAAAAAATAGGTAATAATGCCACATCCTCGTATTTTAAATTTCATTTAATTCCATATGGAAAAAAAAACTGGTCAAGTACAAGTCACACACTTGGTCACTTAGGGCAATGAATTGAGTCATTAGCCAAAGAATTTCTTCGATTAATTATCACTATTCCTGCCAAGGAAAACTACATCTCTATCGGGATAAATGTGAAAATTATTTTTAAAAAAACCATCCCTTGTTATCTTTACTTTTTCCTTAGTCTTTAAAATTATCACATTATATTTAATATCACAAATTAGCATGAATTGAAAGTATTTTCTTTTTAAATCAATTTTTATTTTTTACTTAACATAATTTTTAGACAACAAATTTTTATTTGACAGAATTTTTATTTTATTAAATATTTCTCATTACCCAACTTTTTATTTAAAAAAAAAAAATTCTAATTTAACCGATTTTTAATTTAGCAGAATTCTCAAAATGAACAAAATATTGAGAATTCTACTAAATTAAAAATTGATTAGAAGTTTTTTTTTAAATAAAAAGTTGGATAAAAAGAAAGTTCATAAAATAAAAATTATGCTAAATAAAAATTGGATACCTAAAAATTCTGGTAAATAAAAATACATTTAAAAAATTCTATCAAATGCTAATTTGAAAAATGAAAATTTCAATAATTTTTTAGGCGCTGATCATACACCTACTAAAAATTTTCTTGTTGCGTGTAAAAAAACAAAAAATTCAAAAAAAGGATTTCGGATCCAGTTTACCCTTGGATTGTTTTTTAATTTATTACAAAATTTCTTGACAAATAATGATAAGAATTTATTTAAACATCGAAAGACATGGTAAAATTTTCAATAATTAAATTTTGGATTATTAATAACAATTTTAAAATGAAATACTGTAATTTTGTTAAAGTACAAAAAAAAGGGAAATAATTGGAAATTTGTTTCATCGAAAAAAGTATCAGATATCTTGATATTGCTTTAGATTTTTATCATGTCCGGCTTGAAATGCTAGTAATAAAATTTCATCGACTCCAATTGTGTCAGCTTTACTGAATATCAAAAGAAAAAATGGTTGATTCAATTTCATTTAACAATAGATTGAATACTACAATAAGGAGAGAAAGAGTTGTGTGTACATATTTATGTCACCCGGCGAAAGAGTGAAAAGAATTTTAAAATTTTTTGAAAAAAAAAACAAACAATAACAAAAATTCTTCAACTTGACAATGTTTTAGATCTGAAATTTATATTCGCCGAATTGAACATCTAAGAATTTTTCTAATGTTGAATTAAAAATTATCGAATTTCTATTAAAGAGATTTTTATAAATTATATTTTATATTCAACATGAAATTTCATACAAAACAATTTTTATTTATCTGCAGTTTTATGTAACAGAATTTTAATGTAATAGAATTTTTATTCAACCGAACTTTTACCAAACATTCACCGAATTTTCTTTTATCAAAATTTCCATTTAACAGAATTCTTCTTTAATCAAATAACTGCTTATTCAAATATTTACTTCAAAGTATTTTCATTTCACTGAATTCACAATCAACAGAATTTTTATGTTACGTAACTATTATTTAACCGAATTTTCAGAAAGGACAAATTTTATGCCAACAAATTTTAATTTAACAAAATTCTCATGAAACGAAATTTCTATTTAGCTTAATTTTCAAAAAGCATAATTTCCATATCATTGAAACTCCATTTGATCGAATTGTAATTTCATAGAATTTTGATTTTACAGGCGTTTCATTTTCACCTAATTTGAATTTGACAAAATTATAATTTGCTCGAAATTTTTATTAAACAGAATAATTATTTAAAAGAATTTCTTCTTCACAGAAGGAATATTAGAAAGAATTTTGTTTTAGTCGAATTTTGATTTGTTGGAATTTATATTTTTACAGAATTGTTAAAACGTCAAATTTTTATTTTACATAATTTTCATTTGTCCGAATAAATATGTGACAGAAAAATTTGTGCGCGAATTTTAAAATTAACTAATCAGAATTTCGTTGATAACTTCTGATTTTGGTTAATTTTGAAATTCGCGCCGAAAATTTTCTGCCAGATAATTATTGGGACAAATGAAAATTCTGTAAAATAAAAACTCGATGTTTTAAGAATTCTGTCAAATGTAAATTCGAAGAAATGAAAGTTCAGCAAAAAAAAATTCTTTCAGTCGAATTTTTAAAAAGCAAAATTTCGGTCAAATGAAAATTCGATGGTTTGATTCTAACAAATTTTTAATTTAGTAAAATTTTCATAAAACGGAATTTTATATTTATATAATTTTCAAATAGCAGAATTTTCATTTCATCGAATTGTCATTTCATAGAATTCTTAAAACGCCGAATTTTCATTAATCCGAAATTACAATTGGCTAAATTAATAATCGACAGAAACATTTCGGCGCTGTTTTTAAAATTTACCAATCACGATTTTCTTGATAATTTCTGATTGGTCAATTTTGAAATTCGCGCCAAAATCTTTCTCTTGATTCTACATTCGGTCATTTGCAATTTCGGACAAATAAAGATTGGTCGTTTTAAGAATTATATCAAACAAAAATTCGTGCAAATAAAAATTCGGTAAATTAGAAATTTTTACATTTAAAAATTTGTATGAGTTAAAATTCCGTTAAATGAGAATTATGCTAATTTTAAATTTGTTTAAATTAGAATACTTTTAATTAAAATTAATTTAGTTTGTTAAAGGCTCATTCGAAAAATGAAAATTCGTCTAAAAAAATAATTACCTAATAAAAGTTTTAAAATTTTAAATTCTAATTTATTATTTTTATAGAATAATCATGCGACCCATTTTGTTCGAATGAAAATTCGGTTAAATAAATGTTCTGTTTTATAATTTCGATCAATTCTGTAAAACATAAATTGGATAATATTTAATTCGACACCTCAAAAATTTAAATATTAAATAAATTAATATTATATACCTAATAATAAATAACCAAATAAATAAACACGATATTTAAAAATTAGATTTTTTAAAAAATATATACCTGCAACAGCCTTTGGACGAAAGTCATTGAAATGTAATATTTACGATGCTTGTACAGTTTTTGTTGAAAAAAAATGAATAACTGTGTCTTTTTTATAACTTTTAGAATACTGACGCTGATAAGAAAGAAAAGGAAAAAGGTTCTACGAGTCCGTTTGATGGCTCGAAAGATGACAATGGTCCTCAAGGCAATGGACTTACATCGCAAAATGGTTTAGATGATGACAAAGGGTTTAAGTACGTATTTTGTCTTTTTAAAAAAAAAAAACAATATGTATTAACTAGTGTGTCTTTAGTGTCTACAAAATTCAACTATTTTAATGTTTATTCAAAGTTTTGTTTTGTTAACTTTTTTTTGTTTTGTTTAATTATTTATAACATTTATTTATTATTTTTATCATTATAAAATATGTTCAAAATAATTTAATTTTTCAATCGAAAAATAGGTTTTTATCCTAGAAATATTAAAAAATTATTATTTTGCAAAAGCAAATTTTGTGCTGTAATATTCTCGATCAATATTGAAAAGAAACAATTATAAAATTTACGAAAATTTAAAAACGTTTCAAAATATTTCCTATAGAAAGACTTTCAAAAATTATTTATTTTTCAAAAAAGAAGTTTTTGTGCTGAATTGTACTCGCCTTGCATAAACAAAAGCAATTATATCATTTACAAAAATTTGTCAAATTAATTGCATTTTATAGTCCAAAAATAGGATTTTTAAATCACAAATATTCAAAAATTAAGCAATAGAATATTCAGTACAAAAATTTTTTTTTGAAAAATAATAATTTTTTGATTTTTCTAAGTTAAAAAATCGTTTTTGGATTTTAGAACTGAATTATTTTGTGAAAAGTTTCTAAATTTTTATAAATGTTATAATTGCTTTTTTTGGGATGCATGATTATCTCATAAAAATCATTATATAGAATTTTTATTTTAAAGAATTTTATTAAAAATAATTATTTTTTAGACGAATTTAATTTTTTTCAATTAGCATTTTACTGAATTTCTTTTTATACGAATTTTTACTTAACAAAATTTTATGCTACCGAATTTTTGCCAAAATTTTTATGTTTCACTGTCATTTAATTTACATGAGTTTTTATTTAAGAGAATTTCAATTTAAGCGAATTTTAATTTAACAGAATTCTCATTAAATCGAATTTTATGTGATTTGATTTTGAATTTTTAAAAATGACAGAAATTCCAATTCAGCGAATTTTAATTTGTCCAAATTTTTATTTGTACGAATTTTAAAATTAATCGAATTTTTAAGACGCCGAATTTTCATTTTTTCTGAATTCGGCGCAATTTAAAAAAAAATTTACCAAGAAAATCGTGATTGGTTAATTTTGAAAAATTGCGCCGAAATCTCTCTGTCGAATGTAATTTCGAAAATATGAAAATTCGGCGTCTTAAAAATTCTATTAATTAAAAATTAATACAAATAAAAATTCAAACAAATCAAAATTTGATGACTTGGAATTTTTGTCATTTAAAAATTCGAATCAGATAACATTCGATTAAATGAGAATTTTGTTAAAGCAAAAATTTACTTAAATAAAAAGTTATGTATAGAAAATGTTTGTAAAATAAAAATTCTCCCAAACAAAAATTCATAGTTAAAAATTTTTTTATGTGAAAATTCTAATAAAATGTAAATATTTTCTGTTAAATTTGAATTCTTTTAAATAAAATGTTGGGTAGAATGAAATTCTGTTTAAGGCTAATTTTAAAAATGAAAATTCATCTAAAAAATAATTATTTCTAATAAAATTTTGTAAAATAAAAATTCTAATAATAATGATTATAATAACCATAATAATCCCCGATTGACGGTAGTTTATTTTCGAGATAAAAATTATTTTTGAATATTTTTATTTCAGAATGTGTTGATTTATTACTAATTGAATAATTTCTTTTTTTTATCCAGTCGTACACCGGGAAGTCGACAGCCATCACCGGGTGAAGAGGAATTTCAAAAAAATGCAGCCACTCTGGCCGTAACCGCTGGAGGGGGTGGTGTTGTATTGTTGAAGCCAGGTGTCGATGTTGTCGGTAGTGAAGAACATTTTATGGCAGCATTTGCACCTGCACCGCCTCATCATTTGCAACATCATCAAGCTCCACAAACCCATCATCTTCAGCATCCGCATTCACAGCTTTTTGGCGCTCAGGGACCACCGCCACCGCAAGGTCCACCGCCCTCTCAACAACAGCAACAACAACAAGGACCTCCACAACCTCAAGACAACACCACACACTTTGATGTACAGGTAAGTCAACATTTTTACTTTTCAATCCATTGAATATTTTTTTCAGAATCTCCAAGGGAAACAATTGAAATTGTTTTTTACATTTTCGAAAGGAAAGTAATCAAAATAATTTAGGGATTTTCTTTGTGTTTGAAACACGAAAAGTCAATGATTTAAAATCATTTGTTTCTCCTTAATTATTAAAAGAAAATGATAAAAAGGGACTCTTATTTAAACCTCTAAAAAGAGTCAACTTTGAGAGACTGTACCTTGAAAAATACCTGGAAAACTTGCAATTGTTATGGAAATTTTTTTTAGTCATGGAAAACCTTGGAAATGTCAGGAAATTTTATAAAATATCGTTCTGAAAATTTAATTTCCTGTATTTGAATCGAGAAAATTTCAAGTTTACAAATTGACATTACAACTTTTCATTTTGTATAGTTTTTATAAAAGCAAATTCTATCTACTAATTGAAAATTATATGAAATAAAACTTTGGCTAAATAAAAGTTCTGCTAAATAAGAATTAAGATAAGTAAAAATTCGATTAAATAAAAATTCAGAGAAGTAAAATCAAAATCATTAGAAAAATTCCATTAATTAGAAATTCCTTGAAATAAATATCTGTGAAAATTCCGTTACATATAAATTTTATTAATCAAAAATTCTGTTAAATAAAAATTCACTAAAATAGATAATATGAAATATCAGATAAATAGAAATTTCATTTAATGAAAAATTAATTAAAAAATTCTTCCTGTAAAAAAATTCCCATTCATTATGAATTTTACTTTATAAAATTTGGTTAAATAGAAATTCGGTCTTGTTGACAGCGTAACAGAAAAAAAAATCATTTTTAATTTCAATGATTTTATTTTGTATTTTAATTTTGCAGAAAAAAAAATTGTACATAATTTTAAATTTACAGATTATTCATTTGTTAGAATATTAATTTTTTCGAATTTTCATTTTACAGAATTTCCATTTAACCGATGATTAATGTTGTAGAATTTTTATTTAGTCAAAAATTAATTAACAAGAAATTCAATTTGATCGAATATCAATTTCTGCGAAACGTTGTTTTGTAGAATATTAATTTTGCAGAATAGTAATTCAAAATAGTTCTAATTATGCAGAATGAAGAATATTAATTTAACAGAATATATTCATCTGTTCGAAACTTCCGAATATTAATTTTACAGAAAATGCAAATGATCGAAAATCAATTTGACGGAACTATTGTAGACTGAATTTTAAATTTGACCAATCAGAAGTTATTACAAAAATTGTGATTAATCAATTGTAAACTTAGCCTCAAAATAATTCTGTCAAATTGATTTTCGATTTTCTGTAAAGTTAATATTTAGAAAGAATTTTTTTAGCCGAATTTTCATTTTTTCGAATTTACATTTGACAGAATTCTTAAAACGTCGAGTTTTTATTTTACAGAATTTTCATATGTCCCAATAATTATCTGGCAGAAAATTTTCGGCGCGAATTTCAAAATTAACCAAAATCAGAAGTTATCAACGAAATTCTGATTAGTTAATTTTAAAATTCGCGCCCAAATTTTTCTGCCACATATTTATACGGACAAATGAAAATTATGTAAAATAAAAATTTGGCGTTTTAACAATTCTGTAAAAATATAAATTCCAAAAAATCAAAATTCAACTAAAACAAAATTCTTTCTAATATTCCTTCTGTGAAGAAGAAATTCTTTTAAATAATTATTCTGTTTAATAAAAATTTCGAGCAAATTATAATTTTGTCAAATTCAAATTAGGTGAAAATGAAACGCCTGTAAAATCAAAATTTTATGAAATTACAATTCGATCAAATGGAGTTTCAATGAAATGGAAATTATGCTTTTTGAAAATTAAGCTAAATAGAAATTTCGTTTTATGAGAATTTTGTTAAATTAAAATTTGTTGGACTAAAAATTGTCCTTCCTGAAAATTCGGTTAAATAATAGTTACGTAACATATAAATTCTGTTGATTGTGAATTCAGTGAAATGAAAATACTTTGAAGTAAATATTTGAATAAGCAGTAATTTGATTAAAGAAGAATTCTGTTAAATGGAAATTTTGATAAAAGAAAATTCGGACGCATAAATAAGTTCGAAAAATAATTTGTTAGTATTTTCAATTAATAGAATTTTATTAGATATAATTTTCATTGAGCCGAATTTTATTTATTCCAATTTTGATTTGATATAATTTCCAACAAAAAAACCCGATTTTTCATACCGTAGAATTTATACTTAACTGAAAAATCATTTAACAGAATTTCTAATTGATAGAATTTTTATTTGTCCGAAATTGCAAATGATCGAACAATGAATCGACAGAAAGATTTCGGCGCGATTTTAAAAATCAACCAATCAAAAATTATCCATAAAATTGTGATTGGTTGATTTTAAAAATCGCGCCATTGTCTGTTCGGTCATTTGCAATTTCGGATAAATCGAAATTCTATCAATTATAAATTCTGTTAAATGATTTTTCGGTTAATTCTAATTCTAAATTCTAAATTCTGTATCTAATGAAATTCTATTAACCCTTAACTGGCACAATTCAAAAAACTTAGAAAATTACTAAGAATATGTCAAAAGTAATATATTAATAAAATATAAAAAATATTCAAAAGCTATTCAATTAATTTGAGCTCGAAAAAATACTCGGGTCTACTGGACCCATGGTGCCATTTAAGGGTTTAGTTTTAACTATTGATTTTTTTGGAACCTATTCATGCGTTTAAAATTCATAAAGAAATTAAAAATTAAAAAGTTAAAATCAAATGATGAAAAATTTGCCTTTATACAAAAAAAAAGTTTATATGAAAAACAGAGAAGCAGAATAAAAAAAAGAAGAAAAAAAAGAAATGAAAAAAAAAAAGATAAAAATTGTGAATACACGAGATTTGCTTCGTGCACCATCGAGTATGAGTATATGATCAAGAGCACATTTACAATCACGAACCTCTACTCTCTGCTCGTATAATAATCAACACTATCGACTCTTCTTACGTCATATTCTATATACATTTATTGTATGGTACACACTAGATTGAACCCCTTCGAGGTATATTATTCCAGAGAGATTCTTTGATCAGTACCAGCGTAATATTCTCACTATTGATTATCAGAACTGAACGCCACACATATGACAAGACAAAGAAATGAAAGTAAAAGTGGAAAGTGCACATTTTCAAGCTCTCGCATGTTTAAACAAGCGGAAAAGAAAAAATGATAAAAACAATTATATTCCATGGTTGAAAAAAAAAAGTGTTAAAACAATATTTTTCAAACGCAACAAAATTGAAATAAAATAAGTTCTGAAAATAGAAAATCAAATTCAAAAATATGAATAGAAAATAATTCTCAAATAATGATGTAGAAATGTCAAATGATTCAGTCTTTTTTTTCTAATGCATAGTTTTGCATAATAAATATATATATTGGTATTGGTGGAAAAAAAATTGCTGGTATATTATTTTTTTGATCTTTATATAGTAAAAGGAATTTGCAATCAGTATTGTTTTAGGGTCGCGTGATAACGACGTTCGTTCTTGACACTTGGTGTACACGAAGAGTTGCTTGAAAATATACCAAGAGGGTCGAAAACGAAAGCGGAGGTTGCATGACTCGTTAGTGCAACTGAAGCTTTGGCTTAATAAGAACCTCGTTAAATTGACACTCTACCATTTTTAGTTGTCTTATATATAATACAAGAGTACAAAAGTATAATTCGACCCCAAAAAAAAAAAAAAATATATGAAAATTTATTTTTCCACATAATAATAAAATAAAAGTACAAAATTATATGTGACTAAAAATACAACAACTGAAAATATGGAACGAAATTGAAATTTTAAGGGGTTTAGTAGTAATTTAAAATTCATGGTTTTATTAAACTACTATAAAACGGCATTAAAAACGGAACGCATGAATAAGGTGTAAAATTAATTTTTTTAGAATTTTCAATTAACAGAATTTCATTATCTAGAATTTACTTTTAGCCGAATTTTTATTTGTTCATTAAAATTTTTTTAATTTGCAATTTGCAATCCAAGGACAATTTTTTTACCCTAAAACATTTAAAAATTATTATTTTTTCAAAAATCTAAGAACAATTTTTTTACTCTGAAACATTTAAAAATTATTATTTTTTAAAAACAATTTTTATGCTAAATTATTCTCACTCAGCCAACTCAAATATTACACTTGATTTTTTTCGTGCTGGTCAAACACAATTCAACACAAAATTTGTTTTTTGAAAAATAAATTTTTTTTTAATATTTGTGGGTTAAAAATCTATTTTTGGATTTTAAATTAAATTATTTTTAATATTTTAAAAGTGTTTGTAAATTTTGTAATTGTTTTTTTTATGATGAACGAGCAGATTTTTTTTTATTAATAAAATTTCATTACCATCACCTGGGGCTATTCTACTCACCCAGGGACTAGAATTATTCAAATTTAAATTCAAAAAATGATTTTTTAACTCAGAAGTATTCAAGTGAAACTGCTTTTTTTTAACAATTCCGAATTCCGATATTGAAAGAAATTTTCAATACTACAATTTTTAAGTCATAATTTAAAAAAAATTTGTATTAAGTTTTAAGGTGAATAAATGTCTTTTAAAATAATTAGTTTTACTTAAAATGGGATTCTAATCTTATTTAATATTGACATTTATTCTGTTCTTTAAAGTGAAAAATATAAATGCTTTTTTCAAAACCTATAAGAGAAAATTTTGTTTTAATTAAAATTCTGCTGATTCGAAAATCAGTCTAAAAAATTGGATGAACATATGTTTTATATATGTAAGTTGTGCTATCCTATGACTAAAATAATACTAATTTAAATCAGACTAAAAGTCTGATTGACTAGATTATCTGACTCAAGAACAAGTAGATCTTTTATAACGAAAATTTTGCATCTCGCTTGTGAGAAGCCCTCTACCGGACCTTTTACAAACTACGCCCTATCCTATTACTTGAGTTATGATAATAA